GACCGATCAAGAAAGGTCAAAAAGTCTTTTTTTGTTTATCCTGTACATACATGTGCATTTATGATTGGTTAAAACACTTAATTATATGCAATAAGAACATAATGATGTGAATACGAATACATGATAATTCATTAGAAAGAGGAATAAATGAGGAAACCCATCTTTCAGATACATTAAACAACAATTTGCATTCTGGCCATTAATGAATTCAAATCAGAAACCTTATAGTCCTTATTCATGTAGATTAGTAAACAACCTAAGAGTGTTAAATCTCCACTTGGGATTGTTTCCAAAATCTTACTCTAGTGTGTGGGTTATATATATATAAGTGGGTATTATGATGTTTAAAAAAGGTTACAGGAGGTCAAAGTTAAAGCATTCACTGTACTTATATTATTGATAGTGTTTGTTTTAGTCTATTTACTATATCATGAATTGGAGTAAACACCAAATAGGTCACAAATTTGTACCACCTGTAAACTTTTACTTTTTAGGTATATCTCATCTTCATAATATCAAGCAATTAGGAACTGTGTCTTATACCTTGACTGCAATAGCCACTTGTCTGTTATGATGGTTTTTGTTAATGCAGCAATTTGATTGGATTGTATGCTAGCAAATTCAGCCAATCATAGTCTCTGATTGAATGTTTAGCCAAAATTGTTTATAGTCAGTTTATTGTCAAGGACTCTGATTGGCTGTATTAGCTAACGTACAATCCAATTAACTAATGTGATATAACAAATGTGGCAATTGTATTCAAGGTATTAGATGCAGTTCGTAATAGCTTGACATTGTGAAGATGGGTTTATTTCTGCATTTTGCTGCCCATATGAAATTGTATGATCCACTACCAAACAGATTGTGAAACCAAAGCAGTGAGTCACCATTGATCTCAAAGTTAGAAATATATAATATTGATTGTGTATTACACAATATACTCTATGAATGTTATAATGTATTCCATAATGAAGACAAATGAATACAAACAAATGTATATAACTGAGATGGAATGGAATGAGAAAAAAGTCTGTCCTGGTTCTGTAACCGCACCCCCCCCCCCACCCCCTGGTTCACATTCCTTGTCATTGAGCGAGCCCCCGTTGGTAATAATTTGAAACCTTCTTTGCCACCTAAATCATTGGTAAGCATTAATTATAACATTTGAACAAACCAGCTAAAAAAGAGATTTCCTTGATTAGATATATAACAAGTGGCATGGTGCAGTATGTAAGATCGTTCATGTGATACACATCCTACATCAGATAACTGCCGATCTCTGCCAGTGTCTCAACAAACTGTGTAGTTCGTGTGGACAGTCCGTACCACGCTGCATAGATCTAGATATAGGGGATTGGGAGGTTGTTGTGATGATTAAAAAGGGACGAATATCTCCAGGTTTTGGAGGAAAAGAAATCGGCGGAAATGGCAGCTCATAGTCTATATGTTGTATGGCATTATATAATAACGAATAGGAAATGGAGGAAGGTCACTGGTTATATGAAGGTCAAATATCTGTTAGAAAGTGATAAGTAGATAGGCGTTAAAATCTTGATTCATTTTCCTGTTTGAAATTTTAGTAGTTATTTGATAAGATTGAATAGGATTTAAACTGTACATAAGAGTTCTGTTTCTATACTGGTTGATTATTAGTTCTAGTGCTTGTTTTTAGAATATTTCATAATGTCTTGGGTGTAAGTATTTTTTTATAAGTTTCATGCAGCATGCTATGTTCAGATAGAAAAATGTTACAACCGTTTTACATGACGTTTAAGACTTACATGTACTGAGGATGCTATCCACCATCTGGTCCTTTATCAAAACTCTTGGTATTGATCTTTCTTGGATTATCCATTCACATTTACAGTTGTTTGAATTGGAATAATAATGGAAGGTGACTTGTTCAAGGTTTCTTATATGAATGTTTAATGTTAATGAGATGCAGATGATTATTTTCATCATTTTAAATCAAGGAAATTTCATTTTTGCGGTTTATCTAAAGCTTTTTTTGTATGTCAAAAAATTTTTTTTCTTGAATTTGTGGAACTACACACCAAAATCTATAGAATTGTGCCCTTTAACCTATTAAAAAATCCAGCCGTTAATTTGTAAGGTTGTTGTATGTTCGTTATGTTTTTTGAAAGCTGTTAGAAAACTACTGTACGGATTTGAGTAAAATCAACATCTAATTGTAGAGAAATATATCTCCTATGTATTCTGAAAGGTTTCAACTAAAAATATCGAGCCATTATACACCAAAACTAGGTCAACCTGCTTAATTAATAATTAGTACTCTCTGTTTTAAATTAACCCTTTCAAAACAAATTCAGTTTAATCAAGTAGATACATGGATATAAATAGCATACTTAAGAAATATTTTCAGGTCTAATGTTTTTGACAATGAAAAGTTTTTACAAAAAAGCGGAATACCCCTTTAACATTCTGGTCCAGCATATCCAGACTATTTTACTTGGTCAAGCAACAAACATTAGTCATTTATTCAGTTTGTCACATGATCAATTGCCTTTACACACCAATAATGCTATTGAGACCAGAGTTTAAACCTTAAATATAACTAAATATGACACTGGTAATAATATGATTGTTCATTGTCTGAAATTTAATATCATCCAGTTATCTCTTCATGATAGCACCCTGCAACTGATGTTTTCAACTCAACATCCATTTTTGTGTAAGAAAATAATGAGATTATAATAAAACCAATCATATTAGTCATCATGATACCACTCTGCAACTGAGGTTTTCACCCAATGTCATATTTGAGGAGTTAAAAATTTTGTGTCAGAGATGATGAAAATTAAAGATGGCCAATTATCAAAGTCATCATGACCCATGAATAACATGGAGACTAGACAAAGAGTTTCATTGACTAGACTAGAATAATCTATTCACTGACTACTCCACTACTCCAGTCTTTATTACAAACACTCATTGAGTTTTCTATTTCCTAGCATGTGGTTATAATAAGGACATGTCTCATCGATTGGCTTAAAGGGATGGCAGAGGGAGAAAGTAATAGCAATATTGGGTCGCATTAAACAAAAGTCTATGCTGGTTTATCATTGCTACTAAGTTTCAGAAAATGGAGTTTTCATTCAAATATCAATTCCAAATAGTCTTCAATTGTCTTTGAATTGATGAAAAATGTCCAGCAATGAACAAAATAATCCTGTAGAAATGGTTTTAACTTCAGTACAATTTTCAGTCCAAATATAGACATTCTCAGTTTAATACATACTGAGGGAAGTGTGTTATATCAAATATAACATTATTCAACCTGATATTTTATGGACTAATGACATTCGAAGATAAATGATAAACATTTAACAATTTCATGTTAAATATTTATGAAATGAAAGTAATACATTACAGAAGTATGTACTGAAAATATGTACTGAAATATGGAATAAATATATGTACTTAAAATATGTACATGATATGTACTGAAATATGTACGGAAATATGTACTGAAAATATGTACTTAAAATATGTACAGAAATATGGACTAAATATATGTACTTAAAATATGTACATGATATGTACTGAAATATGTACTGAAATATGTACTGAAATATGTACTTAAAATATGTACATGATATGTACTGAAATATGTACAGAAATATGTACTGAAAATATGTACTGAAACATATACTGAAGTATGTACTTAAGTATGTTCTGTAATGTATGTACAGAAAATATGTACTGAAACATATACTGAAGTATGTTCTGTAATGTATGTACAGAAAATATGTACTGAAACATATACTGAAGTATGTACTTAAGTATGTTCTGTAATGTATGTTGTGAAAATATGTACAGAAATTATGTACTGGAATATGGACTAAATATATGTACTGAAATATGTACTTAAAATATGTACATAATGTGTACTGAAATATGTACTGAAATATATACTGAAATGTATGTTGTGAAAATATGTACAGAAATATGTACTGCAAATATGTACTTAAGTATGTACTGAAATGTATGTTGTGAAAATATGTACTGAAATATGTACTGCAAATATGTACAGAAATATGTATATAGTGATATTGATCGGTATCAAAATATTTGATAAAACTCTATGTTTCATTCATATGACCTCAAAATAATTTATTCAAGAAGGTTTTGACATTATGACAGCAGGTATATTATGTTTACTGTAAAGATTAGAAAACAGATAGATTATATAGTTATCAGATATTCATACAATATCACTAAATATGATTCTATATTGGTCAGAATATAGAAATGAAACAAAACTTTTATTTGCACATGAGAATGTTCTGGTAATCAACTTTCATAATAGTTTTTTGTCGTATTGTAGAGAATCTAGACATCATATCTTAAATATGAAAAGTGATACCTCTCTGATTTCTGAGGGTCTCTTCTACCAGTTGATCCTTGATCAAATTTTCACTAATCTTTCTTGAAATATTCATGCCCGTTTACAGGTGGGTCGACTGGAATAATGAAGGAAGGTGAGATACAGATGATTATTTCACAATTTTTAGTCCAGGAGCTGTTTAATTTGCACACCAATTGATTCAAGTTATAGGTCTATGAAAATATGTACAGAAATATGTACTGAAAATATGTACAGAGATATGTACTGAAAATATGTACAATAATATTGTAATACCTAAGCTGAAATTGGCTCTTCCAGCTTGTAAATCATATTATTAATGTATCACATTTTGATATAGTTTTCATATTAAAACAATAGGCTAGCATCAATTTACATTTTCATCTGTTATAAATGATAAGTCTCTGAAAAATAGATAATGCAAATTGACCATGAAAAATTGCTTATTTTGTAGAAAAACAATAGAATGATTACACTATTTCTCAGTATCAGATCTTTAAATTTCTCCAGTCCTGAGAGAGTTGAAGGTCAGGTTCCATTTGAATTGAAGAAATAGGTCATCACTGGGTCTGAAGTTTGGAATTTATTTGAATTTCTTTCTGTTATATTTCAGCGGAATGGCAAACAGACCTAAAGGTTACGGATTAACACATGAAATCAATAGAAAGGTAGGTTGTGTTTTGGAATTCTTCATTACTCTTTTTCTCCTGTGCAGTGAGTTTGCTCAATATTTTTTTGAAGCTTCGGTCAGAATACTCATGTACATATATAGTTTAAAGTTTGAACCCTTAATTTCCAACGAACTGTCCTGATGGTTGGTTTTGTTTCTGAAACATGTGACAACATCACAAGATGGGCCCTTATCAAATGAAGTATAATTCATATAATAATAACAGCATCATGTATACCACCCATTGTTTTGTGAATGAGATAATGCCACATTATGAGTCATGACACATGTAGACCTTTTTTTTCCTTTGTTACTTCATAATACCATATGACTTTTTAACATAGTTTGCATAACTACTGCAAGGTTTAAAATTCATTGAAGATGCTTTATGACATTTAGGAAGTTCAGACAGTTTGGAAACTTCTGTTATATCATTATTTATAATACCTAATGGAGGGGTCAACTTTCACAGATTCATAGCAGGCCTGTAGCGAGCCCCCTAAATATTTGCTGGCCCCCCCCACTTAAAAATTCAGATGACTTAAATGACTTGTTGAGTTGTTATAGTTGAGCCCCCTTTCAAAACATTCAGCCCCCCTGAGACCATAGGCTAGCTACGAGTCTCAGCTTCGTTCATAGGAAGAACCAAATCATAGAAGCATGTCACCAAGAAATTGTTGAAATGTATTAATTGGTGTACAGAAATTGACAATGGTTTCAATATTAATAGTGCACAAAAACAGTCAATAGTCAATTAGTACCAAAAAATATGTAGTTCACAGTAGTTAACTTTGAAAATTAGGCATTCAAAGAAATCTTTGTTTGAGATGATACAGTCCTATGAATATGTTTCTGTGGACAAATGCAAGAATTTGGGGATCTTCATTCTTTTAAATTTTATTTGCAATTAGCAATTGATTATTTGAAGCAGACCACGGTTGGTTATGCTTTTTTAAACAGCTGATGGTACTTCTATTTGGAGGAGCCAACTACTACACCACTATTGCTTGTTTGCTTGTACAGATTTTAATTTATATCATTGCAATTTGGTGGTTCATTATGTGATTTTTGGTTCACCAATTGAACAACAAAAATGGTCTTAATGGCATTGCTCTCTATATCTCTATATCAGTTTCAAGTAAAATGACCACTGTAGCTTAATTTGATTGATTCTAGAGTAGCAGAAGATAGGGTTGCCATGTTGACCATTGACTAACAACCTATTATCTCTGACCAGTGTCCATCTTGTCAAGTGGTTCTACCAGTCACATATCATTGTTTCTAATTGATTATTGATTTGGTAATCTCTTCAATACCACAGCACAATAAAACTACAGCAAGGCAGCATTCTAACCACAGAAAAATTACATTCAGCTCAGTTGTCTGTGTCTATGGACATCTACCCAAAGGCTTTAACCAACTTCTTTTCTTCAAAGTGAAAAAAATATATTTAGGCTTTTCTTTATCTAGATTTTAATTAACCCTTTTAATATATAGATATAAATAGCATACTTTAGAAATATTTTCAGGTATAGTTAATGAAGTGAATTGGTTGTCTGTCTTGTTGATTTTGAAACTTTGATCTGCGGGTTGCTGTTGGTATATTCCTTTCAATAGACAATCCTAGTAGAAGCTGATTTTTGAATTTTAGCCATTATGTCTTAAAATGAATATATGTTATGTATTTAGATTGCTGGGAAATATGATACAGAACTAGAACAAGAAGCCAGAATATGGATAGAAGCTATATTAGGTAGAGAATTAAAACCAGTAAGTATTAGCAATGCTTTATTTTGGTTAATAAGATCCCATTTCAAGTAATATCAAAAATGATATAAAAGGGATTGTATAATTGCAAAATCTGCTGATAATAATGGCGGGAGTGGTACAAGGCAGGGTAAGCTATGCTTACTCTTCTAGACACCTGATTCCACTTTTCATTATATACTTACTTACTTATGATTGATATACTTCCTCATAGGAAAAGTTCATTTGCTCCTAACAATATATTGCCAAACTGTTAGCCTGGATTACAGGCTTCGTTTTGTGGTAAGGACCTACGGATCGTTAGTACTTGGGTGTTTGTTATTAAGTCGGCCTTTGATATTGTGACATCAATATAAACTTACGCAGAAATGTAGGATGACAAAATTACATTTTCATGGAATTGCAAGGACCACATATGTCTGACTGAAAAGTGCAATGGATGCAATCTGTGTGTAATATATATCATAAAAAAATTGCACGCCCTTTAAGAATTTTCAGTCTCTTTTTAAGTGTTTCTGAATGGAATTGTATATAATGTATGTTAATATGATTACAGGGCAGTGATTCATCTCAACCTTTAGGTATGCATGATTTTGGAAGCGCTTTAAAAGATGGTACAGTTTTATGCGAGTGAGTATAGCTTCATTTGTAGACTTTTGTCGTAAAAACATCTGATGATTAAGGAGTACAATAATATTCTCACACAGGAGAGAAGGGAGATAACTCTTTTACAACTAAAATATTTTTGGCCTAAGGACCATTAGTATCTCTTTTCATGTTATCGATATAACTTTTCCAGACCATAACTTTTCCAGACAAGTATACTTTCCCTTTTTCCACACGAAAACCTGGCCAACTTTGAGTATCAGAGAATTAGTTAACTTAGAAACTGATTAGAAAACTGAAAGTAAATCAATCAAAACATTTATCTTTAGCCTATAAAAATGGCTTTACCTTCAGCACATTAATCTCCATATTTCCCTTAATTTTCAAATTATGGATTTCAAATCTGTGCCAAAATTTAGTCTAGAACAGGGCATGCACAGAGAGGTAAAAGGAATACAGAATTTTATATGAAAAGGGAAATAACTCTTTGCCAAGTTAAATGTTTTGTTATAAGGACTAAAACCAGTAATTCATTTGAAATCCGTGTCCATGTTAAATTACTAAATCAATGTAATATTTTCCAGAAATCTTGTTGAAATTTTCCAATGTCACATGAAAGCCTGGCCAATGTTTAGTTTCTGGACAAAAATTCAATGTATCAATGACCATGAAATTCTTGGGCTAGCCAAACTGAAAGTACACCACTACATTTGATCAACAATCGCTTGACTGTCACTGCATACAAAAGTATACTGCATAAAAATCTCTATCATCTCACAAAATCTGAAAGAAAATGCAATTTCAGACATCAAATTCTAAATCTAGACCAAAAATTAGTAAAAATTACCTATGCAAAAACCCATAAGGGAGGAAAAAAGAGGATTTCTAAATATAACACAGACTACATTTATATAAAATCATTTACTTAAAAAGTTTCAGTGGTCTGAGTCCATTATTAAGTGTAAAATATATTTTTTCCTCCTCTGGGTCTTTTAATTTTCAACCAATTGAATGCAATGTTCAAAAGACTTCTTCATATATGAGGAACCCTTGGATATTCATTGTTTAGCATTGACTTTGATTGGTTAGCAGAAATAATAATAACAACTTTTGCTATTAGTGGTTCAAAATCTCAAAGAACACAATTTAAAGAAAAATTTATTCAGATCATGAAAAGCAAGTGCAGTAACCAGCAGAAATATTCTAAAGCCATCTGCATTTTAATCAAATTGGAAAAACCTGTAAATGATTAAGACTGAAAAAGGCCATTAATAACTGAAACAGAATCGTGTCTATTTATAGTAACTGCAGTTGACCATCAGATGAGTTGATTGTCACCTATTCTACTTTGTAACCACTTTATCCATTCAAACTATCTGAATAGTTAAGCTAATTTTTATTGCAGATTAATGAACCAAATTCAACCAGGCAGCATCAAAAGAGTCAACACAACTACTATGGCCTTCAAACAAATGGAAAACATCTCCAATTTCTTACAAGCAATAGAAAAGTATGGTGTGTCTAAAGTGGACAGTTTTCAAACAGTAGATTTATATGAGGGTCAAAATATGACTCAAGTGGTCAATGGTCTTCATGCTTTAGGTAGAAAGGTAGGCCTGATTTTTGTTTTCTCAGGATTATTAGTGGACAGCCATTCTTTTGGTCAAAAGCAGATTTTTTATAGCTAATGACATTTATAAATCTAACATCTGATTAGTGTGATAAATCTGTAACCTGTATAGCAGACGTGAAAACCAGAAGTAATATTGTCATGGTTTAGTGACGCCAAAGTCACATTTTCTGGGAGTTCCTTAGATCCATTTTGGATTGGTAGTTTATGAGAATCTTCGCCATTACAAAAATCAAATTTGTCAAACTTTTGTTATCAATACAAAGCTGACTATTAATAAATCCATCTGGATATTCTGGAATTACCACAATACAGTTGAAGGGTTATAATAAGCTTAGTTTCAGTGGATTAACTAGACCAACAGATATCTGACTTGATAATTGGAATGGTGCAAATTGATGCTATCAGTCTCTCTGAAACACATAAAAAGTAAAATGCCTTTAATCACAAGGAGGAAGCCAATAAATATTCATGTCCAATCTGTATATTGTATTCCAAATGGTGCCAAATGAAACCACTACTTAATCAATTTTCATACTATTTTGTCAGTACTTCACCCAGTAAGCTAATTGACTGCTCTTGATTAAACTGAAAAAAATATTAAAATTGGTCTCTGAATATAATAAAATAGCAAGAGTCAAAAATACAGCTTAAATGTTGCTTAAGGATTTAAAATGCAGCTATATAAGGATTTGTTTTTATAGGCCCAGAAAAATGGTTACAGTGGTCCAAGGTTAGGATTAAAAGAAGCTGAAGCAAACCCTAGAAACTTTACAGAGGAACAGTTAAAGGCTGGGGAAGGAGTTATTGGTCTTCAAATGGGATCAAACGCAGGAGCTTCACAGGCTGGCATGAATTTTGGAAAATCGCGACATATTCTCGACTAATTATTTTGATGAACCTAGAATAACAAATATTTCTTACATATACATGTAGATCTACTCTTTGTACAGTTAATATTATATAAGACTCCTGGCATCATCAAACAATATCTGAATTTTTACTATTTGAAATTTACATATGTATATAACTATGTATTGCAGAGTTTAGTCTGAACCAAAACAATCCCTTTTTCTTATATGCACCTTTTTTATTAGAGCTTAATGTTGAAGATCTGAATTGATCAATAAATATCTTGAAAATCTTGAAAGATTTGAAATGTTTAAAATCTTGAAGATCTGAATTGTTTAATATCTTAAAGATCTTAAATGTTTCAAGTCTTGAAGATCTGAATTGTTCAATATTTTAAAGATTTGAAACGTTTAACATCTTGAAGATCTGAATTGTTAAATATCTTGAAGATCTGAATTGATCATTATCGTTAAGATCTGAATTAACCTTTCAATAGTTTGAAGATCTAAATTGATCATTATCTTGAAGATCTGAATTGATCATTATCGTGAAGATCTGAAATGTTTAAAGTCTTGAAGATCTGAATTGATCCATATCGTTAAGATCTGAATTGACCTTTCAATAGCTTGAAGATCTGAATTGATCATTATCTTGAAGATCTGAATTGATCATTATCTTGAAGATCTGAATTGACCTTCATATAGCTTGAAGATTTGAATTGATCATTATCTTGAAGATCTGAATTGATCATTATCTTGAAGATCTGAATTGACCTTTCAATAGCTTGAAGATCTGAATTGATCATTATCTTGAAGATCTGAATTGATCATTATCTTGAAGATCTGAATTGACCTTCATATAACTTGAAGATTTGAATTGATCATTCAGTATCTTGAAGATCTCAATCCTTCGGACCAAAATGTATAAATTATGAAATGGGATCAGAGTATAAAATTTTTTATAAATATTTTTCGCTTTCATATTTGAATTTAAAAATTACACATAATATAATCATTTGCTTAACCAGCTGATAGAGGTCATTTACAGCTATCTATGTTACTTTTGATTCTGTAAACCTCAATGTTAGGTTTGTCTACAATTTTATAAATACATAATTATAGAAATGATAACTGACAAAAATATGTCATTAATGGTAGCAAATGAGTTGTCTGTCATTTGGTAAAGCAAACTTTTAAGCGAATATTTCACTTTAATCTTACTTTGAGATCTGAATTTTTGTATGTATATTTGACAAATAAGGAAGGAACTATATGATGATACAACATCAATGTATGCACTGTATGCATGTTAGTAAGAATTTATATTGGAAGACAATGTGCATGAACTACATGCTACTATTTAGAATCTATATCATATTGTCGTTTTATGGCATAATCAACAGAATTTAAGGTCACATGTCATACAATAAGCTTAAACATGGGTTCCCTTATTTTTATTTATGAAAATGAAAATGTTAATACTTATTTGAATTGAAAGAAGAGGTGTTCTGATGACTTGGAAAAATACCAGTTTGTCTCACATGTCCATAATTAATTCATAATTAACTAAATTAGAAGAGAATTACCAGCAGAATTTCAATGAGTGACTGATCAAGAAAGGTCAAAGAGTCTTTCTTTTCGGTTATCCAGACTGTACATTCATGGACATATATAAGTTAAAAACTCTTAATGATATGCAGTAAAACATAATGATTGATTAAGAATACAACACAACAAATTTTTTTCACTGTTAAAATAGTGCTCAATACATCAAGTGTAGAGCGATATAGAAATATTAGGAATATATGATAATTCATTAGAAACACCAATTAGTTAAATGGTTAGCTTAATTTGACACTAAAATAAGGACACTAAAAAAATAAGGAAACCCATCTTTAAGATGATATATGATAATATATGATGGCCATGCTGATAGAGCTCATATTCAGCTGTTGTTACTTCCAATAGTGTGTTTTCGTTTATTTCTAGAGGAACTCGACTTCAGATTTCACTTCTGAAAAGTAATACAGGCAGCTAGAATTGAGCTTTATCGGTTGGTAAAGGAACTATTTAGACAATTTTATTCTTTATGTATGACTTTGATCAAGGGAGATTGTAACTACTTAATTTAAGATCCAAAATTTATTGTCTAAGCTTGTATTATACTTTTTGTTGCCAAAATAAAATCATAGCATCTTATCGGAATTTCGAGAGAAACCTTTTCAACAATTCAAGCAGAATAAAGCCCCTTGACGCCTTTTCAGTTTTTGGTCAGCTGCCATCATACATGTATGCACAAGTCGCCTTTAAAAATACTTAAATATTCTGTCCAGCCCTGCAGTCGGTTATGCAGGTTATAAGATAGCTTACAGAAAATGTTTCCTTTCCTTCAGCAAAACAATGATCCGACATGAATTGTTGAGAGGAGTGTTCAAAATGTTTTAAACTGTTTTGCCAACTGGAGACAAGCAGTACTATAGCCTTGTAAATCTAATGCAATTTTTTTTACAATACTTTTTTTTTTAGAATGTTTAAAATCAAGCTTAAAACGCCAAAATTCTTAACAAGAGTATTTTTCAATGAAAGAATTTATTTTTGGGAAATCAGCTATATAAGTGATAAGAAATGAAACATTCCATCCTATTTTTTGGCTTCTGATTGGATTAATGAAGATGGGTATTGGCATGCAGTGCACAATGAGAAAATATTTTTGCATTACTGTTTCTAAGCCAAGAATTGATGGCTCCTACTTAACCATTACTTGATGCTATAGAATTGTTATTATATTTTTTAGTATGTACTTTAAATCGAAATAATATGTACCAAAGAACTTTTTTGTCTTGAAATCGATTTAAAATCAAGTCGTGCAACTTGCTAAAGGTTTGCCAGATTAAGGCACAGGAACAGTCTTTGTCGCCGATTTTTGTCGCCGACTCGATATCACGATACCGACAGGATTTATATCATCAAACAATTATTTTATTTCTGAAAGATAGAGCATCATCATCCAATAATATTCATTTTCCGCATGATCTGCACGTGAGTATCGACATAGTGGAAAACCACCAACTGGAGATTTTTGTCGCTTCGTGAGCTCGCAACCGGTCAGTGAAACTCTTGACAAGACTAGTCGGAGACAAAAATCTCCGACCAAGAGGGTTCATCTGCCCGCACCTTTAGGAAAACAATTATTTAGACCTTATTTTTTTATCAGTTGGAGGTTCTCTATTCCTCCAATGTCATGCAATGTGCAAAATTACATTTTGGAACATGATATAGTGACATCAATCTTTATGAACATAAACATAAACAAAAAACATATTGCTGAGAAGACAAACCTAGTTGCAAAGAGCCCACCCAAATTACCCAAATTCAATTATTAATAAGCTCTTGATCATTGATTAGATGAAGTTGTTATTGCATGTCGTGGTATGTCAGACTGTCTATTTGCTTACGAAATAAATATTTATAGAGAAAAAAACGTAGTGAATGGCAATAACAATATGCTCATTAAACAATTATGTTGTCACACTATTTACATCATATCCTAAGAATAATACTAATATAAGCTGAAAGTCAAATGTCACATAGCATGTTATAATAACAGAATGGATTTCAGTCTAAAGCCGCGAATAAACAGGTCTGTTGTGGTGTACGGGGCGGATTAATCGATGACCGATACAAACGAAAATAGAAGTGAACACGCTTATGTGTACGTTAAAGACTCATCAACTTCTCAAAGTTTGCTGGTCTGATGTAGCTTTGCTGGCGTTTTTTATTCAGCTTATGAAGGTCCAGTGTTCAATCCTGGCATATGTCGAGATAATACCTTCGGATTTTTAACCCGGTTCCCCCTGTCAGTGATGCAGGCAAGAGGGGCTGACATGGAAAAGTCGTTCGGATGGGACAATAAACAGAGGCCCGTGTGCTGAGGCCAGTTGGAAATTGAAAAAGAGCAGGCTTATGCCGCTGTTCTGGCAAAATTTCCCTCATTGCACCATACATGGCATTGCCCGTATTTATAAGCCCACGTTGTGCAGAAATTCATTTAATTTTTTTTTTACAGCACAATGCATCAAGCCAATTAACATTAACAATCATTTTCATCGTGGCATAAAAAGTAACCAAAGATTCAGATAGCACCTTGGTATTTGTCAGTAGGGTTTCCAATGGTTGTGATAGTTGTATTAAGTCAGATCGGTTGTCTTCGATTTCAAATGGGCAAGGATAGTATAGATTGCCCAATTTCAAAGAAGATGAATCTGTGCTATTCGATTTGATGGAACAAAGTAAGATAGCTTAGATTTTGAACATAAATATTTAGCAGTACAGTAACAATCACCAGTATGAAATATTCAACCTTCAGTCATACACTTCTTTTGAACTCTTTAGCACAATACTTAATAATATTGAGTATGAGTTATTGCCCTTGTTCTTGAAAACGTGTTCAATCTTTAGCTCGTGAAAACTCTAGAAGACAAATATTCAATCTCCAGGACTGAATAATAAAAACCAAGTTTTGTCAAAATCCAGCAAGAATCATGCCTTTTAGTGTTTAAGAGCTAAATTTGAAAGCGGTTTCAAGAACAAGGGCAATAACTCATACTAAATTCTTTTGATTTTCAATAGGGTTCATCCTTGGGTGATTACGAAAATTCACACCAAGTTTCATCAAAGTTACGTGCTAAAAATTAAACGCGTTTTCAATAGCAAGGGCAATAACTCATACTAAATATTTTTCTAAGTTTCGTCAAAATCCGTCAAGAATTGTCCCTTCTAGAGCGTTTACAAGCTAAAATTTTAACGCGTTTTCAAGAACAAGGGCAATAACTCATACTAAATATTTTTCGATTTTTTTATGATTTTCAATAGGGTTTATCCTTGGGTGATAACAAACACTCATGCCAAGTTTCGTCAAGAATTGTCCCTTATAGAGCGTTTACAAGCTAAAATTTTAACGCGTTTTCAAGAACAAGGGCAATACCTCATACTAAATATTTTTCAATTTTTCTGTTTTTCAATACGGTTTATCCATGGGTGATAACCAACACTCATGCAAAGTTTCATCAAAATCAAAAGAATTGTGCCTTCTAGAGTGTTTACAAGCTAAAATTGAACGCGTTTTCAAGAACAAGGGCAATAACTCATACTAAATATTTTTCATTTTTTTTGATTTTCGATAGGGTATATCCTTGGGCGATAACGAACACTCATACCAAGTTTCATCAAAATCCGTCATGAATTGCACCTTCTAGAGTGTTTACGAGCGTTTCAAGAACAAGGGCAATAACTCATACTAAATATTTTTCGATTCGTCTGGTTTTCAAAAGGGTTCATTCTTGGGTGATTACAAACAACCATACCAAGTTTCGTCGAAATCAGTCAAGAATTGTGCCTTGTAGAATGTTTACGAGCAATTGTGTACGGACGGACGGACCGACGGAACGAGGTGACGGCAATATACGCCCCCCATTTCATGTGGACGTATAAAAATGAAGTAGTTCTAGTACTCGCATTAGGACAAA